CCCCAAAACCCCAAAACCCCAAAACCCCAAGTTTGCCAACACTTATTGAAACTCAATTATTTTCTGGATATTTGACTATAAAACGCTATATTTTAGGTTTATGTGTTTACCTGAACTTCTTAATGTAAGTACTCTGGCATTTTAGTGATGGAGCTGATGAACCAATCTCAAGCTTGAAGGAATCTCTGAACAATTTTGACGTCTCAAATGACTATAAAAGGATGAGTTTTAGGGATTTTTGGGGTACTTACGTTGTTAGAGTGGATGATCTCCATTCCTGAGTCGAACAATCTCAAAGGAATCTCTTTGTCTCCCTTTGTTACGATATGAGCTGGATATACAGCCTCTCCATTTCTTTGGGAAGGATCGAAAACCCTCACAAATTTGGTAGGATCAGCATAGATAAAGCTATAATCGGTTGTCTCTTTGATTTCTTTCTGGATGCTTGTCAATTCAGGTCTAAAATTATGATAGAATCTTACTCAATTGAAGAGAAAAGTCTGTTCTTGCCATGATAACAGAAGCTTCTGAAAAGATCTTGTCCAATAGCCTGAGAGCAACTCTTTGTCTCGGCAGTCTCGCATTTACTGATCAGTTTGTGAAGAATGTTTGAGTAGCATACTGGGAGGATCAGGAGGAAGTTTCCACACTCACTCTTGAAGCAGAAATGTGGCTTTAGATAAACAACAGAGATCAATTGGAGATCCATCAGTTCTTGGGGTTGTAAATCGTAGAACAAACATAATAATGCCATTAATTTGATTTGAAGTTCTCCTTGATCTTCTGTATTCTGAGGGATTTCAATTGATGCCATTTTCATGCAAGAAAGATTGAGACCGAAAATAGTTGAAATCCATTCAACAACATATTGTTTCTCAATCATCGAAGCTTGGCTAGTAATAAGGAACTTCTGGACGGATGTCATACTTACAGTAGGAACGGTAGAATGGAAGTCCAGAATCAGTCTCAACTGGCTGAGAGTTGGGAATAAATCGACTGATTTGAATCTTTTCAGGAACATCTCAATTGCTTCTTTGTTAGTTCTTGTCCATCTGGTGATACCTTCACCGAAGATAAGGTTCAATCAAATGTTAGATTTTTCCATTTCCTCTTCAAAGGTTGGCACGAGTTGGGATCTGAAGACTTTATGTCCCAAAGTAAGGTCAAGTTTGCCATAAAGGATATCACTCTTGTAAGAGAAACTTTCAGTTTTAAGGTTGTTGAGGAACTCTTCAGGGAATTTACTTTCAACTTGGACAACAGCATTCATAATGGATTTCTTGGCAGCATAAACGCATTCAGAGATGGTTGGCTTCTCTTTGACTAGAGGAGCATTGCTATAAGTATTTGCTTGGTGCTGAGCACTAACTGAATCTTCACTGTAAATTCCGCCGTGATTCATTTCTGGGGTATATGGGTTTGGAGCTTGCTTCTCATATGATCTCTCAGGTTCGTGCATAGCTCTAGACCCCATCTCATGATCTCTTGAATGGTAATCATAATTCTTTTGAGGGGTCCCATAGTCTCTTGGGATATCCTCTGATTCTCTTCTACCTTCATTATAATAACTTTCTTCTCTTTGTTGGTTCTGGTAAGAATATTCTTTATTTTCTTCCTTATTATCTCTATGGTCATCTCTGAAATCCTGAGATTGTCTTCTGTATTGCATTTGATCATCTCTAAAGTCTCTTGACTCTTGCCCATAGCCTCTAGAATTTTCTCTGTGCTCTTTTTCTTCTTCTCTATATTTTGGAGGCTCATTGTACTCTTGGTTGGATTCTTCGATGAATTGGTCTTCTTGGTGGTAATCTCTTTCAGGCTCTCTCTGGTAGTCCTCAACAGCTTTTGTTTGGTAGTCTCTTTCTGGCTCGATGGGATAATCTCTCTCAGACTCTCTTTGGAGATCTTGGATTGACTCTTCATTGTTGTCGTAATTCATTGGAGTCTCATTGTGATGTGACCTTTCTACTTCGGAGTCCTTTCTCATGTCTATATATTTGGAAGGAGTGGGCTCTAAATGAGAATCGCCTTGGTTATCATTGAAATGGTAGTCAGACTCCTTATCATAATCCATTCTTCTTTCAGAGTTATAGTAATCTTTTTGTCTCTGTGGAGTACTGTTTTCTTGATAAATTGGGTCATCTTGGTGTTGCTCTTTTGTAGGAGAGGAACTTACATGTGGTCTTTGTCTGTCCTCATCATCAACTTTCTTGTTGAACATATTGCTACTTAGCTCTCTAATCTCCTCAGATTCTTCAATAAAGTCATTCTGTGGCCTTCTAGCATCATAGAAATTGTTCTCTCTGAAGTTAGGGGATTCTGGCCTTGGAATTTCTCCATACCCATAATGCTTCTTAAATGGAGAGGATCTTGGTCATTTTCCACCATATCCATATCTCCTATTGTCTTCTTGGCCCTTGCCTTTGTACTTATCAGATGTAGAGAAATCATTGGCTTCACCTATTTGTGTCAAATATAAAAACTACCTTTATTAGCTCTAACTTCAGAATCAGAGTCTTCAACATTTTCAAGCTTTTGCTGTTCAGCTAGTCTTTTTCTTTCCATGAAGGCTTCAAAGCCAGTCCTGACTTCTTTCTCTTCTTCTACAGGAGGTTCTGGAGCTGGATTATCATACCTGACTGAGCTCTCATCCTCAAGAACAATCTCTTCTCTATCAATCTCAATAGTTGTTCTCTCGGTTGGCTTTGGTACTAGTTCTTCATGCATATCAGCATCCTTAGAAGTTAATGGATATCCTCTGCTCTCGTTATAGTAATCCTTACTATTAGAGTAGAGTTGCTCATTCTCATGAGATTGGTAGCTATTCTCTACTTCTGGAAGGCTCCTTTCAGGATTCCTTCCATATAAAGAGTTACCAGCAGGTTTTGGCTCTTCCTTTTGGAGCTTGTTGTGATAATCTGGAGACTTCTCAATTACTGGAGAGACGGAAGATTCCCTTTTCTCAGATCTATCTCCAATTTCTTGATTTTCTTCCAATTTTTGGTATTTTTGCTTATAGATATCACCAAGAGAGGATTTCTGAGTTGGAGGTTCCCTATATCCGATATCAGGCTGATTAGAATATCTTTCAAAGTTCTTCACAGGAGTGACTTTTTTCTGTTGAGACTTATCCAGTCTATCAAAGAAGTTACCAGAAGGAGCACTCCTATCAACTGAAGACTCCTGCTTGGAAGGAGTTTTCTTGACCTCTTCAGTAGCCTTAGTGGCTTCCTTCTCTAATTGTCCTCTCTTAAATTTTTCAAACCAGTTTTCTTTGGCGGGGGATTTTGAAGGAGCTGGTGACTCTTTCTCTACAGAAGGTGCTTTCTCAACTCTAGGCTCTCTTTCAGTTAGGTCTACAACTGAAGGCTTTGGTTCAGCCGCTTGGTCTCTCTTCTTCATGAAGGTGTCGTATGAGCTTTGTCTTTCAGGGGATTTCTTCTGAGAAGTTGGCTCGTAAGTTTCCTCTTGATCGGTTCTTTTCATAAAAGCATCAAAGGAATTAGTTTTCTGTGGGGACTCTTTTTGTAGAGCGGGCTTTGGAGCTTCATCTTCTCTTTCAACACTCCTTTTCATAAAGGCATCAAAAGTATTAACTCTTGCTGGTGATTTATTTTGAGTGACTGGGTTTGGAGCATCTTCTCTCTCAGCACTTCTTTTCATAAAAGTATCAAAATTGTTGATTCTCTCGGTAGACTTCTTTTGTGGAACTGACTCAGAGAAATCCTTCTCTTCACTTCTCTTGTTAAAGGCATCTAATGAACTGACTCTCTCAGAAGATTCTTTTTGAGGGGTTGGTTTTGAAGTCACTTCCTTTTCTTCCAATCTCTCCTTTAAGGTGTCAAACATGCCAGATCTCTCTGGTGACTTCTTTTGCATAACAGGTGCTTGAGTTTCTTTCTTTGTTTCCTTCTCCTCTTCTTCTTCCTTCTTCTTTTTGTCAGCTTGCCTCTTTTTCCATTGTGCTAACCAACTATCTTCAGTATTTTTATTAGCATCATTTCTCTCTTTCGAACGATTTGTTTCTAAATGCTTAGGTTAACAAAGATACCTTTGTGAGATACTCCTTCTGCTTTTGGTGCTCTATATGCCAGTTATGTTAGATAATTAGTCTTAAAGGGCTCTAAATGAGCTAGAAACATACTCTCTTCTTTGGTCTTGCACAGAACTAAGATTTCTTGGACCAGAGCCAGTTCTTTTCTCAACGCTGTCATGAATCTTCCCTGCAAGTTTCATATCTCTCTTGTTTGGCTTCAAAGAGTCGTATTCTCTGCCTCTCTGTTTGAGTTCTGGTCTCTCCTAAACTGGATTAAGCCTGGTTTGTGTGAAGAATTACTCTAGTTTGGGAATTCATGCTTCTGTTCTCTTTGTTAAAACAAGATTTATCAGCTTGGTATTTCCCTGGCTTCTGACCTCTCTACACAAAATCACTTATATCACGTACATTATAAGCTGTTCTTCCTGCTGGGTTGTACTGGCCAGGCTGATGTCCCTATAGAACCAATCAGGAAGGGTAATTTAAGCACAAATATTTTGAGAAAATCCTCAAAATCCACATAGAATCCAAAGAGAGTCGTAAAGATATCGTACCTGTGGAGTTGTGCCACCTCTGCCTCTTAGGAATGACATTCTCTCTTGCTCAATCTTGTCTCTGATATTTCTCTTCCTCATATTGGAAGATTTGTTGCTTTTGCGCATTCTTTGTTGATCCATACTCTTTTTGCGGGAAAAGTGATAAATGAATTAAAATTACAAAATGAGGGAATATCGTTCAATTTAAGCTCCTAGCTGGGGTTTTGGGGTTTTGGGGTTTTGGGG